AGGGGAAAAGAAAAGAAACAAATCAAACCAAAATCCCTCAGCTAATTCTCCTATTGGGACTGTTTTTATAGCACGTGCAATGGCTCGTGTTGAGAGGACGGGTCMGAGCAGGGCAGACACTGCAGAAGGGGAGACCAGCCCTAGCCCTGCAGTGCTCACACGCCTGCTCTTTGGATTGGTTATTTTCACTTTATTTTGCTTTTAAGGGTTTAGCTTTTAGCTGTTGTTGCAGGGAGGCGTCCCCTGCAATAGCACGGGCCTGCGGGAGCAGGGACAGCCTCGGGCTGTGGCGTTTCTGAGGGCTCGTAAAGGGCTGAGCAGCGGCACCCATCACTGTTGGGTGCCCTGAAGTGAGAGATGTGCCCGTGTGGTGTCACCTGGAGCCCCCTCGGGTGAGGTGACGTTCAGGTAAAAACCCCCAAAAAATCTCAACAAATGTCTCATTTTGCCTCCACGACACATCACATATGGGCTCATACTTCCAATAGGGACTAAATCCCTCTATCAGGCATTAAAAAGAACGAGCCAAACAAGTGTCAGGGTATCTGCATCCCCCGCCAGCCCCTTTTTTACTTTGCTATGTRTAGGGCACTACAGCCGTGTATCTCCGGAGGGCCTCGAGGCCACCTCGTGCATGTTTTTTATCGGCAATGGCAGATAAAGCAGCCTCATCCTGCTGCCTGTAAGACCCAACTCGGTGACATGATCTTCTGGGCTGCACCGCACCTGGAGACGGTTTTGTACAGTAATTGTGAAGATGCTTCACGTTTATGTAAAGTTGAAAATAAAAGAGCTGCATGCAGCAACAACTACACTGCTGGGGTGCTTGCTTTGTTTTGTTATAGGGCAAAATTTTGTTTTAAAAGTCAAAAGAAACCCCAAAGCTGTGATACAGGACAACTGTTTTATGTTTGTATGTTGGCAAGGAATCATACAGTTAGGACATTCCAAAGGCAAAATTCCCCTGGAGGGGTAACCAGTTGCCCCAAGGTCTCYATTTGCATATATTAGGGCAAAAAACCCCTGATAATTACAGCAGCAATTTATATTTTTTTGGTGGCATGGTGAGGGATGTTTAATTACATAGGGAATTGAACCTAAATTGCAGGTCAGCAAAGGCTCCTACAAGGCAACGGGCTTGAGGCTTTCCTGCCCCTGGGCTCAGCACCTGCGGGAGGGCGAAGGCAGGGAATGGATGGATGAAGGGATGGATGGAGGGATGGAGGGAGAGATGGATGGACAGGTGAGCCATGCCAGCCACCGGCAGTTTGGAGCATCCTTAAGGATCCGGGCAGCGGCACAAATCGGACCTCAGCACCCGGCCAAGCCCCATCCTTAGGAGGAAGCAGCAGCTCCTCTGCTCCTTAGGGATAATCTGTTGTTTTGGGAATCAAAACCCTCCTCCTCCTACATATTGAATATAGACTTAACTTTGGAGATCAACTGCAATCCACAAACAAATAGGCATCATTTTTATTAGACACTACAAGAAGATACTATAAACTCACATCTATTTAAACTCATCCAGCAGGATGCAGAAATAATGCAACTTAAACATAGAGCATTAGGCATTAAATTAAACTGTATAAGTGTGAGAAAGTTGAAAGCTATCAAGGCTTTTTATTGCAAATTCATCTTTTTCAGGACATCCRAGAAGAGGCCTGTTAAAATTAATTTTAGCTATTATTGAACAGGTGTCTGCAGAGAGGAAATGCCCTCCTACTTCCCTGTAAAATTACAGCTACCTGTAAGAAAAACAGCTCGCCAGAGGTAACTGCAAACACTAGCAATTAGCAGCCCTCATTTGTACAAAAAAACTGCGTCAGGGACAAGATTTAACTTTCCAGGAGAGCAGCCACAGGTCACAGCTGTTTCTGAACGTGCTGCAGCACAAGTTAATGGAAACCTCAGTGTTAGGAGCCTAAAATAAAAACATAAAGGTTAGCAAGGGACTGGGGATGAGAGGCATATGAAAATTCCAGTGCACCAGTTTAGTAGACGAATACGCTATACTACTACACACACACACACACACACACACACACACACACACACACACACACTCATATACACACACATATATATGTGTATATATATACACACACACACACACACACACACACACACACACACACACACACACACACTCATATACACACATATATATGTGTGTGTGTGTATATATATATATACACACACACACACATATACACACTATATATATACACACACACACACACACACAAATTATTTATTTATATTATTGCACAGATATGTGCTGTGCTGCTCCCTGGGCTCCGATTCTCCTTGGGCAATTTCGTATTACGGATTTTGGCCCCTCAAACTGTCAATCTAAAACAACAGAGACATGCATTAACTGATACTTTCATAACACACACTTTGGCAAATCATTCTCCTGCTCTTAAAACCCATTATGTTGTTGGCGCTAACCCAGAGAACAGAGTTGTGTCAGCAAATCTTGSAGTGCCTATTTACCCATTCCAATATTTACTGCACGATGCAGCAGCCCATCATCTGAACAGTGATGCAGCACTACCCACGAAGTTTTAAATGCAGCACATGCATTCACCTTTACAGTACTTACCTTTATATGAAGTGAAAACTTGGCCAGTAATTCAGAGCAGAACTAACTTTCCCTGCTGGGAGCCTGGCAGCCTTTTCCTGAGACTGCATGGACCAGGAATGGAGCAACATCTGTTGTAGCTTTTTTGCAAAAAAAAAGGAGTCAACACTCATTACTGTCACTGCGTGGGTTCTGAAGCGCAGCACCAAGGTGGGCTGAACTTGCCTTCGCGTGGTGACTGTGAACACTTACCTGCACAAACCCCCTAGGGACACACCAGGTCAGCAGATATAAAAGTTATTAATATGTCATCATAAACACGAAACAAAAAAAATTAGAGGTAAAATGAATTCAACTTTTTTCTTCCTGTATTTAATACTCAGGTTTCATATCTATATAATCAAACAATATAACATCTAGTCAATGTAAGCAAGAACAAGTTTTTTTTTTTTTTTTTTTTGCTTTAATGTATCGAAAGATGTATTTTGAGACATCTAAAAAATATACTCATCAAGCACACAAGTATCTCAGCGTATTTCAAACTGTCCTGAAGAATATTTATATAAAATTTTCACTTGTCAGACGCACACACCGAACACCTCCCCCACCAAATACTAAGTAGATTGCTCTAGTTCTTCATATAGAGCAGTAAAAATGGGTACAAAACCCAAGCTTTCCACACTGTTCTCTGCAGGTCGCCGTCCAGAGCGGTGTGTGGTGTCCCGGGAAGGCRTCTCCTCGGCTGCGCTCACAGCGTTGGGCTCCCATCGTCTTGGCCACAGAACCAGTCACAGATACAGACACGTCTCAACACCTTATCCCACCAGTGCCGCCTTCGACCGCACCGTGAAGCACCCACACCCCAACGACCTCCTGACAATGGATTAGATTTGGAATCCTGTGGGACCAGCAGCTAGCAAATTGGGTAAGCACAGCCCGGTAACAGGTCACAACCACCAAGACCGGCACCAGGAGGCTGCAAGCAGGGAAAGCAGCGGGTGATGGTGCCCGCAGGAACCACGTTCGGCACCACATTGCCAGGGCGGTCGTCAGTCAGAGTGAAGATGGGGCTTGTTCACTGCTGCACTGAGAGAAAAAAGGGAGAGCTGCAAATATCTCGACACTGCCACTACTGATGAGGACTTCAGGAGAAACCCAACKGCTAGAGAAGTCCTGGAATTCATTCATGTTACTCTGACTTGACTACGTCCCCAAACCTCTGGGCATAGTACATGAGACTAAGTCCTCTTTTAGTGTGATGGGGGGAGAGGTCACTGATGTCCTGGTGCTGTCGCCTGCTCTAGTGCTCCAGCACCACGTTACGCTGCGTGAGGAGGCTCCAGCCAGGTCACTATTGACCAAACACCTCGGGTCCTTCTTGTTCGGACCCTTATTCCACTAGAGAGCACAATGAGAATGGGACATTCAATGACACATTAACCACAAATGCGAGACAGCATGTGTAAATACACGATACACTGATGTATGAAAYTGGAGAAAAATACGTTGCATTAAGTGCTTTAAAGATGCACATTCTTGTATTTATTATCTCTAAGAAACTAGTAAGAATTTAGAAGAGCAGAGCCAAGAAATAGAGACAGTTTCATGCTATTCTGTAGATGGGAAATAAAACCTACCTCGCTCAGATTGGACACAGGGAGTAGTGACAGCTACAAAGTCTTAGAGGTTGTTTGGCTTAGASACATCTGCACTGAACGGAGCCCAACTTGCCTTCTGAATCCCTGAAACTTTGCACTGCCCCTTTACAATTACATGCTGACTACCGACCCCATCTCCTCTCCCAAAAGATGTTGCCTCCTGTTGTCTCCAGCAGCAAAYGAGGTTACATTGCAGCAGAAAAAGCAGGGCTGTGAGCTCCTGCAGAGGGATCCAGGAGCACTGACACAGCCCTCCCTTGGGTCTTTCCTATTTCAATCTGCAGGAAATAAAACTAAAAGTCATCCATAGAAAGTCCAAATGGATCACTGATTTTTTTCTCCTTGTAATATCTAAAAGAAATGTCTGTCTTGTATGAAGAAGAGTGTTTAGAAGTTCCTTTTCTAAAAAAAAAAAATTAATTTATTCAATAAAAAGAGGGGACAATATCAGGGAAGTAAGTTAGATTTAAGAACCTAAGTTTCTGAAGACCTACTTATGCTTTTCTGAAAAGCTTTTGGTCCAATTCTTGCATGTTTCCTTGAGGGTCAGGAGAAGCACATCTTGCAATAAAGTTATTACAGCTACTTGCAGGGCACATTTTGTGAGAGCACAGCTAAACACAGAATAGCACATCTTTAAAGCAGATTAGTTCTCTGACAGGATGAAGCGTCACAACAACAAAAGTACACATGAAATAAAAAAGGAAATCAGTTAATGATTTTTATTAAATTTCAGTGCTTTCATAAAATAAATATGGTATATAATATCAAACAGTGAGAAATAAAGCACAAGCATGAAAAGCATGGTAACAGAAAAGTTACACTCATGACGGTGTTTAATACTTAGCACTTTAGAAACCATAAAGCCTTTAATTATTTACAAGCAGCAAACTATCTAACATAATTTACAAGGTTGCAGCAGCCTAGTCAAGAAGTCCTGGAAGGGGAAAAAATGGAGAGATCGCAATGGAAGACCTTCACTTTGCTCTACCTAGTTAGCACTTTATTACGTACCCTATTTTCCCCTTATGTACATAAATCTGTAGCTTCCGTTATCTTAAAGTTTCATAATTACACTGCATTGTATAGAGCTTTAGTTCCTCTCTAGGACTGGTCTAGTGCCTTCTGCACTTAGGAGACACATATTCAAGTAACACTTCAAATAAAAGTAAACATGTGCAAACCAAAGTTATAAACCTACATCATCTTTGCGGAGTAGTGTCAAAACCAGATCCAGCGGGAGCTTATTAATATGTTAAGTTATGGAGGAGCTAGAGAAACCTATTCAGAAGGCTAGCATGGGCAAAACTGGGAAATAATTATATTAAAAAAAAAATGGAACTGAACTGCAACTATACCCTGTTGCCCCAGACCAAGATTTAATCTGCTGAAACACAAAGATTTTAAGGTCATAACTCAAGATTTAATATTTCAACATGAAAAGAAATCCAAGCCATTCGACTTATTTGGGGTTTCGAAACAAATGCAAATGTCTCTGTTTAAAAATTGCTTTTAAATGAGAAAAACAAATCAATATATATTAATATATCACCCAAAATAAAAAACATACACACTCTTCATTTTAGAGCATGCTGCTCATCCAGAATAAAGACAGGACAAAGAAAGTAGAATTACATTTCATGATGTAATAAAAACATTAAAATTTGTGATCCTTAAGTGCACCATCGTACAGGAGTAGCGTGCTCAGAGTGGAAATGTTCTATACCTACCAGAATCCACCTTTGTTAAAGCAAATTTTTAGGACACGACCTGAAACTGAAATCAAGAATAACTGTGCTCCATTCAGCTTGCCTCAAGTTTCAATCGGGCATATTCCAGCTGGTAGCACCTGTATGCCGCTTCATGATTGCATTCCAGAAATCTTTTAAATTTGCAAACCGTTTTTTAAAAAGGCTGACTTTTGTGATCCTTGCCACGCTCATCATAAACCCATACTGCAAGTAAACTCTGTTCTGAGCAGCACAACTTGGGGCTTTTTCAGAAATCTGAGAGCTGGACTTAACGTTGGCAGTAGATACAGTACAACAATTTGATGTATTAAAGTTCCTCAAAAAAGTCTGAAAGGAAGATTTCCCTAAAGACCATTTAAAAAGCAAAACAAAACCCAAAACACTTCACCCAAGATCTTTTCAATCCTCTTACTGGAGTTCAGAGCTTGCCAACATTAAGAAAGTCAGGAAAAAGGAGGGAATGAGGCGGAGAGGAAACAAAACTAAATTATTCCCCATTTGTACCGACGAAAAGCTTCAAGTAAAAGGAAATCCACTTGTTAAAGATCTTGCTACATGCACAGTCCCTCACCAGTTGAAAACCACAGTAGTTAGCATTAGGTGTAACAGCAGATCTATCATTCATAAAAAAACACTGGCATTGTTCCTTCATACTTAACTTGCGTCCACGGTCTCTGTTTAGAAGCTTCTTAAAAAATGTTTATGGTTCTGCACATTTCATACCAAACTGGAGGAAAACGGTAAACATTTCTTCTTTCATTGCAATCCCATTCAGCAATCTCCTCCCCAAGAACTCAGTGTCATTTACGAGTCTGAGTCTTCTTTGGCACTGCAGGTCGCTTGGCTTGCCACAAGTGATTATGAATAGTAAGAGCATCCACACTGACAGACATCGTTTTGGCTGGAATCAAGCTAAACTGTTTTCTGTCTGAACTGTATTTATAAAGCTTGTCAATCATTTTCTTGGTGATGCTCTTTGGCCCTGTTCCAGTCAGCTTGTAGATTTCTTCAGTGTCAGGATAGTAGCAATAAAGTGCTCTAAACTGGCAGCCAGCATCACGGAACAAAATGATGTAGTGGTTGGCATCACACTTCTCTAGTTCCTGCATTAAAAATAAGCAAGCACATAAACATACAGCTTGACCACAGTAAAACTCTCAAATTATGCCAAGCTTTACATTTTTTTGTATAGCTAAATAAGTGTTTAAAGATTTTTGAAACATTTGACAGTAAAAATTATTTCCAGTCCTTTTATACACTTGTTATAAACTTGGGAGTTGAGAGCTTAACATAGGGTCATGTTTTCCCTAAGCCCATACAGTCACTAGAAGCAAAGGAGCCTCAGTGCAGTTATCTTCTCTTTTATCTTTAAAGGCAGTAAGTAGCCATTTGTTCTGTTACCGACAGCATTCCTTATTGCATATGTACATTCTAGGAARCAGGATTCACTATAATGTATTAACGGGACTATGAAATGAGCATTACAGATAAATCATCATGGCACATGCATTCATAATTAGAAATTTTAATGATTACCTCCAATATCGAGTTCTTATGTGGTTCATTTACTTTTCCAGCAAGACAGCAGTGAGATATAGCATTGTGAATAATTGGTTTGTTTGATTTGCTGCTGGGCTCTTTAAATAATTTTGGACCTACAGAAAATAAATAAATATTAATTATTTGCCCCACAATTATAAACATTAATCAAGACTATAGATTTTAGTTATATTAAAGCTGTAAATTGCAGTAATTCCAAAATGATTAGTACAGCTTTACTGGAGACAACTTATATTTTGTAGAGAAGAACTAAGGACTTTGAGTTCTTTTACAAAAAGAGAGGCTTCTAATCTATTAAGGACTCGGTCTCACACAAGCTACTCTCTTGAATTAAAGATTTTGTTCCCTCCTCTTTTTCAAGAACAGTTTTGTTCTGCATAGCTTTCTGTTTTCCCTTTCAAATATGGCATTCATCTTTTAGTCCTTCCCAAAAAAGTTCAGACTATCTGAATAACTTCAGATAGAGATTTCTCAAAGAGGCTTGAAAGATTTCTCGAAAGCAAGACCATACTGTACCAAATATACCACAAATTTTATGACCCTTTATTATCAAAAGATGCCCAAACTAAAAYGAAAGTATCCACCTGTGTACTCTGCCACCGAAGCAATCGAAGATGCTGTTGACGCATTTTCCCAGTCACGTTCTGTGTTTCTGCTAGGATTTCTACTCAATATCGGCAAGGACTCCATTGATTCAACCCTATTGAGAAAAAAATATGCAGTTTTCTATTCAGATCTTAAATAATTCTGTTCTGACTGAACAAACTACAGTCCCTCTCCCTCCTCTACATTACCAAATCCTCCCCACAAAATTCTATTATTTCTTTGGGAAATAGTAAAAGGAATTTCAAGTTTGCATAGACTGTCAATGATGGCAGCAATGCAAAATAGAAACCGAATTTACTAATTACCATTGTGGCTCTATACCAGCAAATTTATAACTGAAGTAAATGACATTGAATCTCAATAATATTTTATAACATAGATTATTTTTCCCTTTACCGCTGAGATGGAGTGCCGCCAGAGTGCACRCTTTCAGGTTCTGTTGTTGCTGCTGAGGCCAAAGACAGACTGGAACCAGACTGAGCACTGCTTAAATTATCAGCTACAAAATAAAAAAAGAAGGTGTGAAACTCATCCTATTAAGGCAAATTTGCAAATTCAGCGAGAACAAATCAAAATCCTTACGTGTGGATGAACATTTTGTCCCTGAATCACTGTAAGATTCTTCACGATGGACAGATTTCGGCCTGGGTTTCTTGGGCTTTGACTTGGGTTTCCCAAGACCTTGCTCCTCCAAAATTTGCTGCTGTTTTTTCCTTAAATATTCTTGCTTGATAAGTTCTCTTCGAGCCTTTTCTTCTTCTTTCCGTATTCGGTCCTCTTCAGCTTTGCGACTGAAAAGCAAATAGAACATTCAAAATATAATAATTTCCCTTATTTTAAAGGCCAAGAGTCCCTCCCCACTTATGCTAGTACCGGGCCTCATCTCTCTTTTGTTCCACTTCAGCCTCCAACTGCTGCTTCCGAATCCGRGCCTCCTCAGCCTTGCGCTGCTGCTTTAACAGGAATGCAGCACGTTTTTTTGCCAGCTCATCTTCTGCTTTCTGCTCATCCTGCAAAATTCAAATGCATATAGAGCTTTAAGGAATAAAGGAAAATATTAAATTGGACATTACATGATTGCTAGAAGACTCAGGAGGAATTAAGGAAAACACAATCTAATGTTTTTAGAAGCTTTTACTTTGTTTAAACTGACAAGTGTAAACTCAGAGAATGGTATTAAAGTTCTGCCACTCAGGAAAACCTTATGAGACCGTTTTGGTGTTCTTGCAAGTCCAAGAGGAGAGAATAAAAGATCTCATCTTACTCTGCCTTATTTTTGGGATGCATAAGAACAGTTATCCAGAACTGAAATTCACTGAAATTGAGACAGCCTATTGGGACTTTTACTGTTTAAGTTAGGAAAGTATTATAATGGTAGTGCAACCATTGCAATGGTATAGCAACATTCTGTGTGCTAAAGGTACATATATACACACACACACACGCACACACATGTATCTATATATAGTTTGTGTGCATACTGAAGGAAAGGGGAGAAAAGCAAGATTAACCCTGGTTCCCCAACAATTTAACAGTAAAGAGCTCTATGTGGGTGAAATACTGGTCTCAGAATCAAGTTAAAAGCCTTTCTCTCCACCACAGYTCTTTACAGATGCAGTTGGAAGAAAAAAAACAAAACAAAACAAATAAAAAAAACTCACACACATAATACTGCAATGTATTGCTTTTCACCAGAGACTTCAAGAACAAAGCAGAAAAGCAAGTTCTAATGCCAGACAAATACACAGCAATAGCCAGATACTAAGCTAACATATTTACCTTGAAGAAAAACCCCACACCAGACTTCTGATCACCTTCACTAATTATGTCTGCAGAGCTATCCTGGTTTTCAAGTTCTCCCTCTTCTGGAGCTTTTAAGTCAGATAAGTCTACTTCAATGAGATTAGCTTTGCTTCTCAATGGCTCATCCACTGGGACGTTTTCTTTTCCTGAGCCATCAGAACAATTCAGTCCTGTTTCTTTTAAGCTGTTATTCACTTCTTTGCTCATTTCAGAAATAATATTTGCATCCTTGGACGCTGAAAGAACAAGCGCCCGTTGATTACTCTCATCATGAAGTCTATAGGTATCAAAGAAACATTTCTCTTGAGATACAATTCCATGATCAGGACTGTTTTCCAGACCAATTTCTGTTGGTGTCTTTGACAAGCTATTGGGTGGAAAAGCTCTTAAATGTGGTAAGGTTTCTAGACTTGGGGTTGGAGTTTTGATACGCGCTGAATTTTGCTGTCGGTCTTTACCGACTTTCAGGTCTGCTGGTCTTCCCGATCGAGGATTTCTTCCTTGACCAAAGCGAGGTGGTTTACGAAGACTATTCATTCCAGTCGGAGAGAGGGGCTCAACAAAATGAATTGATGGTTTTACCTTTTGGTCCTGAGCGTTACTTCTGGTCCCCGGTGATGGCACTGTTGGAGACTTCATAAGCAGTTCTTGTTGCTGAGAAATCTTTAATATAGCCTGCTGAAGTGTACTGATTGTTTCATTTAGCTTTTCAATAGAAAGATCACATTCATTAATATCAACTTCGCCAACATTATCTTCTAGAAGGGCAACAGAAATAATCTTACTTTTTTCTAACTCATGTATAGCAGCAGGGTCTTTTGGTTTAAGTTGTTCAGCAAAAGCTAAGCCTTCTTGCATTTTCACTTTTGTTACTTCTTGAGAATCATTAAGCATTTCTTCTCTCTCCTCATCTTTTACAATAAACTCCTCAGACTTGGAACTCAGAGAAACTTCATCTACGTCCTCACCATTATGCCGAGGATATTCTTTTGCAAAATGTTCTGGTTTCAGTGGCTGTGGAGTATCGGGAGATTTACCTTTTTTAACAACATGTAAGAAGGCAGCTTTGCCCAATTTTAGTCGCTGCCTTGCTGATAAGGCTTCCATCTTCTTCTTCTGGGCTTCTATTGCTCTTCGCTTCTCTTCCAACTGCATATGAAGCTGCACCAACTCAGAAGCTAAAAGATTAACATTATCTTTATTTTGTCTGCTGGGACTTTGCTCTCGCTTTTGTTTCCAGGTGGTCAGTGGGGCTGGGCAGCTTTCCGATCCATCTGGCGTGGTCTTTTGTGAACTACTTGTGCTCGACTTTGTTTCATAGCTGTTAAGCCTTTGGAGCTTTCGTTCTGCAAAACTGGTCATTCGGACACTCCCACTAGTCATTGACACGCTGCTAACTTGAGAAATTGTACTTAAGCATGGACTGGATCGTCCACTGGCATCATCCTTATCTTCATGTTCTTTTACCTTCATATCTTCTTGCAACTTCGCGGATTCTTCCTCACCTATGTATTTAGTGACTATCGGATGGTCATCTACAATGACCAAATCCTGCTCAGCATCATCTATGTCTAAAAGATCTGAATCGGAGTCCTGTCTCACCATAGTCCATGTAGTATCTCCAACGTGCGAATTGACACTTTTCACGTAGCTTAAATTGACTTTGCTTGCTATGTCATCATCAGATTTAGCAGCATGAAGAAAAAATCCTCCAGTGGATTGCTCCTGAGATGAAGGATCTAAACTGCTACTAGCCAAAGGTCTGGAAGCTTCTAACCCTGCTTCCAACAGCGCTACTGAGTCTGCAGGACTAGGATCTGCAACCGGAGTGAAATCAGAACTAGAAATCGGAGTAAAAGCCCTATTGAGATCATGGTCCCCATGAGAGCTATTCGTCTTCTTGCGGACCAAAGGCAAGTGTCCCTCATTGAATCTTCTTGTTAGAAAATTCCTCTGCTTCCCCTCCCCACATTCATCCTCCTTGTTGATTATCTGTTTTTCCTTTGCTGGTTTTAGCACTGCAGGCATTAAGGGCTCCAGGTAAAAGCTGTCTGGTTTGCTTTCCACAGCCTCGCTGTTCGTTTTTGGAGACCATGCAGTCGCAACTATGCTGGGCACCCTGGCTGATGCATTCTGCAATTCAAGGTCACCACGGTTTGGCCTTTCTTCAGATCTGATTATTGCAATAAGCTCTTCATCTTCATCCTCAATTTCAACATTGTTCAGCAAGCTCTTCCCATTAGTCTTCATTGATGGAGGATGAGCCTGGTTTTTTGGAGTCACATTAACAATGTTAGAAGCAAGACTGTCTTTGCTGATCGATCTAGCCAGACTAATGCTATCACCAGACCCAGGGTCCACATCTGTGCTTGCAGAATGATGAAGAGCAAATGGTGTTGGCTGAGACAGAGGCCTAAAGAGATAAGAACAGTCTACTGATGCTCATGTATAAAAAGTTAGCATTTATTAACTTGAGACTATGATATATAAAGCTAAATGTTTTGCTCCGTTTGAAAAATGTAACCAATAACCAAAGCCACCAGTAATACCAGAAGGCTGCTTCAGATAGCTACATTTTCAAATGCTTATTGAAAACCAAGCTTAAGATACTTCCAATTGCAAGCCTAAAATTTACAGTCTCTGTTGACTCACATTCTAAAGAAAACAAAATTAAGCAATTTTTGGTCCAGTTCTAAGGAACTGCTAATACACTACTAGAAAAAAAGGAAAAAAAAAAAGAGCCCACAATCCTGGTACTGAGTAGCAACTCATTACACTGCATTTCAACACATTAAAGCACCTCTTACCTGGGTTTCTTTTCTGGCCATGCAAGAACTGAACCTCGTGGYTGCCCATCAACACGGGTCAGAGAATTAGAACGATGTCGATGACCTGAAATATTTTTAAAAGGCCAGCTATTTAGAAATGGTCTTCATACAAACACTTGTAACTCTAATAGCAAACACAATAAACTAGTTCACCAAGAGATGGCAGCAGAAAATAGATTTGCTCAAGCATAATACATGAAAGAAATAAGAGAGCAATAAAATCAGGAAAGTATGATGCAATGTGATCACAAATGAATATGTGATTTGGGGTTTCCAAACAAGAGAGTGCCATTTGGTTGGCATTTAGCTGACAGAAGGAAATAAATTCTAAGTTTCCTTACATAAGACTTAGGTCTTCAGCAATTAAAAATATTTACAGAAAACGTGCTAATCTATCAAGTAAGTTTGTCTTTCTGAATGTTTTTCTATTTCTCAAGGCTTTTTTTTGTCAGTAATATGCGCATAAGACAAATGGTCTTCTCCCTTTCTTTTCACAAAATTGAAATTATTAGTCTTAAATTCCAAAAAATAAGCTCATTGGTGGACAACACGAAATCAGTAACTTTACTGAAAGATCTTTAAAATCCTTTTAAAAACCATCTTCATCTGCATGGTTTATTGAAACTAATGGTTTTCACACATTACTGCACTGAAATGGATGGTCATCACCTGCTGAAACCCAAATTCAACACTGACTTACCAGGGCTGTCCTCTCCCTGTAAAGATTTTTGTTGCTTTTGTCTCAAAGGGAGCAGTGGATGGGAAGGGCTAAAAGCAGGGCTTCCTCCTTTGCCACTAATTCAGAAAAACAAACATCCATTAGCACAAGAAATGGTTTTCTACAGTGAGAAAAAAAAATATGCTGCTAACAGATACTGTGCCCTCTCYTAAAACAGAAGGATAAATAATTAGTTTTCATGCTGACGTTGCTTAAAGGAAGAGAAATAAAGATTTTCAGATGCAGCATTTCAAGAATAAATGACTGAATTCAAAATGTTTTAAGCTGTTGCACAGAGAGGGTTTAAAATATGACTCTCTTAACACTACATTAGAGACAATGACTGAGTTGGCTTATTTGCTGCATTCCAAATTATATCAACCGGGAAAGCTTGTTCTAAAATTTCTTGTACAGTAGATCCTATTTAAGCTTGTTTTCATATTACCATTCACAGAATATAGTCAGTAAAGATGAGATGTGTGTCACGTTCTACATTTTCTCCAAAACAGAACTTAGGCAAATTCTCTATAATGCAATAGCTACAATAAATGRTAAGAAATACAGACTTATTCCAAAAATACCAGTGCCAAGTATTTCCTCAAGCTTGAGAGCTGAGAACCGTATGCAGACTCACTGCATACAGCTCAAAATTCACTTGATTTTGTAGAAAAATTAGAAAATACAGCATTAGAAATTTCTAGGTTACCAATTGGAAGAAAAAARTCACCTAACAACACAAAAGGAAAGAAAAAAAGACTTACAGATAGTCAGACTCCTCGGGGTGCAGGTAGTATCTACTGCAAACTTCAGGGCCTGGCTGAGCTGAAGGCTGCAGGTCTGTTGGGTTTGCAGCAGCAGGGCTAGCCATGAAACTTCGTTTAGTGGCATTGGAGATGGGAACAGGCGGACGACTGCTCTTCTGCTGCAACACTGTTTTAACTGTGCATAGATTTATACGATTAATGCAACTCATGCTAACCATCCAAGTAGCAAACAAGGAGTTTTTTGGGCTGTACTAGATGGCAGTGAAATAAAAATTAAGAAGAAGCCTAAAGGAGCAGTCTTTATTTACAATATTTATTCTATTGTGAGCTTACTGAAAACTTAGCAAGTGCTTAGTGGGGCTGGAAAAGARATTACCTGCTTATCTCAGGGTCAGGAGTCAACCCACAAGTGCATCTAGAACTAGACACCCTTCCATTTTGACTACTTTCAGCTGTCTCCAGTGAGCAAGACACTTGGGCAGAAATAGAACTCCAGAGGAAACTGTTTCATTATAATGTAAGGTTTTAGCTTTAATGCATTTAATCAAAATTTTAAAAATTTACCATCTTTTATTTCCTGAATATCCCTCGGCTGTACAAAGTCAGGTTTGACATTCTCAAACCACCAGAAGAGTTCCGCAATGAAAACCATGACATTAGGCTAAAAATAGAAAAAAAAAGAAAAGCATGATAACAAAACTCCTAAGGATTTACCTATACTTAAAAATATATCCTACATTGTGTCTTACCTTTAAAACCAAAGGAGCGTATAACATGTCCTCCAATGTGAGGTAAAAACATTTGTTTAGATACTCATTTGAGAATTCTCTCAAAAGYTGAATATTATAGAGGCTGTCTGCAATTGAAGTTACCTCTTTCAAACAAATATCTAGAAAGGGGAAAACACAGGAACCCATTACAGCACSAGCACAACCAATTAGAGGTTCATCCACAAATAAAAAAAGCATTACATACAAAAGCTTCACAGACTGTTACACATCAGCTAGATCTACAAAAGAAGTATTAGACTTCAGAAAAAGCAGAGCAGATTCTTCTCAATACATTACTTTTTTTCTTTTTTTTTTCTTTTATAAAAGTGTCTGCTTTTAAAATGCATTGATCTTATGTAGATTTCATTTATTACAGTCCTCTTGTTTGTTATAGACCACCAGCTGCTGGAGGCACTGCACTTGTCTTTGAGCTTTTATTTCTAATCTCACTATTATGATTGAATACTTTTCATTTGTATTTTTTTTTAATAGAAACTTTAATTACATACCATCTAGTTTCATGTGCTCTGGACAATAATAGTGTATCACAGCTAAAAGAGCAGCACCATCACTCCCATCCTTCATCAAATCTTCCAGCAAAGGAAAGTAAGGTAATTGCCTGCTTGAAAGATGGTCTCTTCGGTAACGCACCTACCAAGAGAAAACAAGTGTTCACACGATGCCAAGGAGAAAAGAGGGTTTTCCTAAGCACTGAAAACTCTTTATGGCAGATTCCTTAAAATATTTTATCTAACTCAAAAACACTTCACAAGGTAACACTCTTGTCTCAACAGAAGCCAATTCAGAAGAAAACTGCATTTCCTTTATATTCATCTTCCGTGCGCGTGAACACAACACACACTCCTGAATTGCAGTCTTCATCCACACACTTTAATTACGACAAGCAACGTCAGCCTARATCCTTCCACACAGACTGCTAAGTGCAGCAGATCCAAGCCAAGAGAGAAAGATAAACTAAATATTTTCTTGAAAGAAAAGGATCAGAAAAAAAGAAAAAAAGACACTTGCGATGGGCTACATTTACATCCAGACATGCTGCCAYGTCCACATAGAGCAAAGTTCTCTTGGAGAGATTCAGAACATCACACGATTGGCAAGTCAGCACACAGCATGAAGGTTGGGTAGCAAGAAAAAGCATGGCTATTTCCAAGAACGGTCAGCAGCAGGAGCAAGTAGGCTCTGTAAATCAATGGCAAAGGCCTCCTTGACTTGACAATAAATCAAACTTTCCCATGCCCTCAAAAATTTGGAGGGTGGCTAATGAGGAGCTGAAGCCAACACACGAATAAAACAAAATCAACGTTGCTTCAYGCAATTTTGGCAAGAGCAGTGTTAGCCTTGCTATTTCTTAAGGGTCTGCATGTCAGATTAGTAGATTAGAAGGCTGTATCTAAACTCCAGCAACAATGATCCACCTCCAAAAGGAACAACACACTTGGGAGCCTCGTAGAATTTTTTTTTTTCAGTGTTGGAAATAATTTCTTTTATACGTTAAGTGCATAAATGTCCCTTAGCATCTCACATGAATCTTGACTGATGCGCTTGCCTTAATGGATATAATCAGAGAACATAAAAAAGTCACATTTTACCAATGGCGTCATACACTTTCCAAGACAACTTTAGAAAGCTGTCCCTATAAACAGACACACACACTCATSTGTGTCAATTTAGGACGGCACAGGCTGAGAAAAATTCTATTTAAAAGAATGAAGGTCACTTACAATCAGAGTAAGACGAAGAATCTGTTTTATTTATTTGCTTATTGGGCACAAATACCAAACAAGCGACGCTAAGTCTTGCTGGCAAAGCGGGTAATTCTAAAAGCTATGGCTACACACTAATGCTATTTATTCTTTCCTTTTGCCAGGGGTCAATTTTGTTTTCCCCAGCCTGGGGCACGGCACAAATATGTAATGGAACGTGAATCATACTGTACCACACGAGCATATTCCACTGGCTCCCGCATGCAGTGCGACACGGCATGCATCAGATCGGGCTTACGCGGGAAGAAATAGCGAGATACACGGTGGTGATTATTCAGGAAGGAAACACATCAAATGCATCAGCAACATCCATTCCGCACTGGAGATGTGGCCATGAGGTCCACTAAAATAAGCATGCACACTAAGGTGATCTGGTTAGCTTAAAAGGTTCCTTATTTACCCACTTAGTCAAGGGAAAGGCAAATTCAGAATTTCCTTTTTACGTTTTGGTTACTACTAAACTTTAAGTAGATACAAGTATTTCCTTTGCAAACAGTTTAATTGGAATTTTTTTTTTAAACCTATCACAGTCAATACTGGGCAACTGGTGAAAAATACACACATACTTTGGTGAAAAATACACACATCTCTCACTGATGATGTTTTTATGGACTTCTCCATTTAACTCCTTATTTTCCCCAACTTTTCTTCTCTTAACCATTCATTCCTTTATAATGAAAACTATCATTCTTTGTTATATTCTAAGCTTTGTTTTTTTTTCTTTTTTTAATAAATGACCTATTTGTTTGCAATAAAGTGCAAAAAATGGGTGCTACTGAACTCAAAAACGAGTTAGCTGTATGTGGTAAAAAACAAAAAGCACGACTTGAGTGAAGACAAGTGATTTGATAGCTTCCAAAACAAAAAAGAAATAAAAAAGATAAGAAGAGATCCAATGTGAGAAGCAGAGACTGCAAAGTCCACGTTAGCAAACCAGTATAATATGGGGGGGTACTGGACTAGCAGTGAGATGATTTCTGTGAAACTTCTTCCTCTACCACAAACTTGCTCAAGGATGTCAGGCAAGTCAACTCCCTTTCTGTCTCTATTTTTATTACTCTCCCCCAGATGCCTCTTTATAATATGAAGAGCTTCAGCTTCTTAGAAACGCTCTCCCACGTAGCCCCAAAGTGCAGCTGGCACCTTCAAGCCCGCAGAGAACATACGTGATAAGTGGCAGCTCAATATTTCATTATACGCTGTCTCAAATCATTACATAAAGCTGGAAGACAGGGCTCTATCCCACACCAACAGCCTGCAGGTGCCCACTCTAATTTGCTTTGTTTCAGAAACGTGAGGTTTTTAATGTGCTCCATACATTGGGTTCAAATAAATGAAAGATATGGGCCAGGAGGGCAGGACTGAGGTCTCTGTGCAAAGGCAGCGGGGTTGGGAGGACAGGAGGCTCCTGCCTTGCCCAGTGCGCTGCAAACAAACCCAGCAAGCAGAGGAGAAAGGATGTCACAGCCAAGGAAAACAGGGGAACAATGGAAAATCTCCACGAGTTCCAATGAAACCTGGAAGCTCAGCCAAGAGCAAGCAGGCTTTTATAACAGAACATCAGTTCCTCTAAAACAAAAAATTAAACCACTTCCATTTGCACGKTTCATTTATCAAAAAATAAAATAACGCCCTACATATCAAAAAAGGATTTAATTCTGTCTTTTCTCCCACTGTGACAGCTTTAGTATCTTTCATTTACCACGTAATTCCAATAGTTATTATAATGTGTCCAAAATGGCTCTGGTTTTCCTTTATAAACCTACCAAAAGCTAGGGAGAAAGGCCCAAAGCTTTCTCTTACTTATACTTAAATACATGGTTGAATAAACTGAGAAGTTAGTATTTTTTTTAACATGTGTGGTGTATACGTGTACATATATATATATATGTATATATATATGCTCATGCATGTATCTGTACAAGGGAGTGCAAGAACATTATTTAACAAATTACTCCTACCACCCAGAATATTTTAACCATACGGCCAAAATGAAGCAACCATTTAATCTGACCAGCTTTCATATCACCTTAGTGCGACAGTCAATTGCATCCTTGCAAYGAGCACAGTAAATGCAATAATTTCAACCACTGTTAATTTTCTGAGTGTTTTCGCTGCTACTCCATATCCCTCACTCCTGCTCTGTGGCAACAATTTTGAAATGCTGTAAAGTGATTATGCTATATGCTGTACAGTATGCAAAAATAATGTTATGGAAACTAAGCCTGATGAACCAAAACCAAAAGATAGTTTTAGAAATGATTGTCTAAGAAGCATCATGATGGAAGCAAACACTCTGAAGAAATTTCCAAAGCCATGGTTTTGTGGATGACAACTGGTGGAAAAGTAGTTCACTTACAGGTACTAATTTCCAATACCATTTGGAAGGAGACTGCTCAGGAAGCAAGGAGAGGAACGTAGGAATAGGAAAGGAACATCAGCAATGCAAGTTAAACGTAGCAGTATTTAAATGCACTTAAGCAAYAAACACTTTCATATTTTAGAGTCATCTTGGCATAAAAAGTTTGAATTAAAAATACTAAAATGAGATCCAATAGTCTTTAACGATCAAATAGTTAACAGGATCCTTCAGATCACACATCAACATGTAAATTAAACAGATCTTAAATCCCTTATCATTCAAGGATATTAGTTTACATAAAAGGCATGTGAAGAAACCTTTGCCCTCGGTATCATAGTAAAACAATTGCGCCTAGCTCATTTCACAATTTTATCCCCTTTGCATAGCAAAGTCAATTTGAGGAATGAGCATCACAGATTATTTTTAAGGTTGCAATAAATCATAAATTGGGAGCACATACAGCCAATATACATTCTGTTTCTGAAACACCCATTTTACATTCTCCAGAAATGAAAGTGTGGTATATTTTTGCAATGTTAGTGCATTGTGAGTTTCAAGGGAAGAAGGGGGAAAAAACTGCACGCACACACACACATAACATTTGAATGTCAAGAATACGCTTACCAGATAGAATCTCATTAAACCCTGAAGTTATATTAGACAATTAACCCATGCAAAATGAAAATGCCCAAAAGCTTTCAAAATATCTGTTATATATTTTGCACTATAAAAACTGAACGGTGCTTATCCAGATCATAACATTCAAAGGTTGAAAAAGTTAGTCTAGTCTATCTAGAACTTAAAAGGGAAGTTGAAGGATACTACTGAGACTACAGGTAGTTAAGGGCACTGATGATGCACATTGGAATTGCRTGCACAAAACCTTAGAAGTTTCAAGACTTGGATGCCTCACAACAATCCGACAAAGAAAATATGGCAATATTTTGCTTAAATCTGTTATAAATACTTCACATTAAAACAAATTTATTTTACCTTTTGGTGTCCCGGACTTTCCATTAACTGTTGTTTTAATTTTATCTCTTTCTCTGTTATCTCTCTCATTTTAAGGTTCACCTAAAAAGGGCATGAAAAAGACATTCAAATACATCTGAATATGTATTTCCACAAGCTGTGTTTTTTCCCCCTTCTCAACAGTTAATCTATTCTAAAAATATTAAAAGTTTGTACAATAATGTAATACAGAAAAAGAAACCTGCATGCATTTTCACTTTAAATGAAGAAAAATTATCATAGAAACACAGGTCTGCTTTTGATTTCTATTAGGTCTTGCTGAATCACAAGAATACTTAGACCCATGTAAGATGTACAGACATATAAATAATGTTAGCTTTCAAGATCAACTGTCTTACTTGCAGTGGCTTTAATTACAATGATTTTTCTCCTAAGGTTGTGGAAAAGCTTAGGTTAAAAAAAAAAATTGACAGCAATACAAGTGCAATTAAGCATTTATTTATGGTTTTCCAAAGAGAAGCATATTTCCATAAAAAATGTAAATTTATGAATAAATTTAGCTTATCTTCCAATGCACATCTCATTATTATGAGAGACATAAATAGCTGTGTTCTTCTGGTTACCTGCGTTCTAGAAACAACATTTGAAAGTGAGGACAAAAAACAGGCACGCTTTTCTCAAAGTTTTACCTTGTTAATCCAGAAAACCATTGCATCCTCCAGATCATAGGGTAGTTCTTTTGAGGCACTGAATGTAGAGAAACGCTTGACACTGGCGACCACCTTTTCAATGCTGATCATTTCTACAGTATAGGCCATCATAAGAGCATCGATCATTGCCATATGAGAGCTCTAGGAGAGGAAAGCAAAGATTATTACAAAACACCATCCCTTGAGGAGGAGTCCTTAAATACTGCAGCTGTATTTACAAAGAAAAATTTCTGAGGTTAGCAACCTAGAAATGAAAAGCTCTTCATTCCATTAGCTATTTTAAATAGTGTTAAATAAAAAGGATCATTAGGCGGATTTAATTAAGCTAACCATTTTGATTGGTGCACAGCCCAGATCAGATTCAGACACAGGTGTATCATCGCTCTCCATGACGTAAATCCCTTTCCGAGACAGAGCCTGGATCACTGACTGGTGTCCCTGCAGAGCAGCCACCTGATCCCCCTTCAGAATGAGGCTGCAGACRCGGCAGTAGAGCTCGCTGGACAGCAGCAGCTTGATGACGGGTGGCTTAATGTGTTCCTGCTCGTACTGGTCTATGTAGAACGGGTCCTTCAGCTCTTCCGGGACATTATCTGAAACAAAGAGGTTAAACAAGCGGCATCTGTTAGGTGGCATCAGTTATAAACAAGAAAATGCACTTGATTTAAAGCTAGAGTATGGGAAAGCARAACGGTGGAGGCAAACAGACAGACTAAACCATATTGAATATATATATATTAAAAAATAGCTTCATATTGCAAAGGGTTTTTGGTAGGTCTTTGTGCTTACATCTTCATTAAATAGAAGTATACATAATTAGCTCCCTCCTTACACAGCAAGTAACCTGCAAGTTACCATTAGCTTTCTCAGGTTACTACCGCCCCAATTGAAGGAAGCACTTCAGCACGGACAAAAAAAAAAAAAAAACAATTTAATTTAAATTTTAATTATTTTTTAATTAATTTAAGCGCAGATTCATTCAACTTGGATTTTTCACCAGCAGTTGATTCGCTTTGAAATGATACGATTTCCATATGTTGTCTTAGAATTGTATAGAACTGAACACAGGTGCTGAACGTAGTAATTTACACGCAGTAGAAAATGCACAGCCCAGGAGCCTTGATCCTGGCACAGCGCTTCTTCCCTACGCCCCATGAAGGCTTAGGGCACATTTGCTGCAGAGGGCACGGCTTCACAGCTGGCAATACTTTGTCACATAGCCCTGGCATTGCCCTTTCCATGCCTGCCCCGCAAGGGACTTTCTCTTCATCCCAACCATAGTACTACTYTTCACATTATTCAAAGTAGCTTACACCCAATGGCTGTGGAGCTGTAATGGTATTTAACAGTTATTTCCAGTTCCAGAAAGAGACTGACAGCTTGCATTTCCAATSACTGAGAATGGAACCAAAACCCAACTCTAAAGCAGTCCATATTACTCAACACTTCAGCTTTGTTACAAGCATCTGCCTCTTAAACAATCTAAGATACATTGATTTTTAAATAGTTGGAAAATACGCACGCTAGCTGATGCTCAAAAATATCTGTGGTGAATAGCATTGCTGGTAAGAGCATTAACTTTATTCCAATTTTTAGAAGGATTTTTAATACAAAAGCATGTATATTCRAAACATATGAAATCCGAAGTATTTCCTTAACATGATGTTTTTGCTATAAACTTATGCCTTCCACCAACCCCACAGCACTGCAGCACACAGTAACCAAGCACAGCGCAGAGGAACTACTGTCAGAAACTGGACCAAAAATAAAATAAAATGGGGGAGAAGGGCAAATATACAGGTATTTTCATTCCTTCCTGACCAAGCTTTCAYGTTATTAGTCTTTGACCAAGCAGAGCAAAATCCAGAAAACGTAAATCAGAACTGTCAGAACAGCAGTCTTAGCTTGCTGTGCAACTCAGACAGGAAGGCATCCCCAGATTGATTATTGTTTAAATTAGCAATATTTTAAAGACTCTTTTTTAAGTCTTTCCTAGCAAATAAAATAGTCAATCTTCTTAGCAATGAGATTTGCTGACACAAAAATCAATATACTTAAGACTCTCACTAAAAAAAGAGACAGACAAATATCCCTAAGTACCTCCTCTTCTGGATACTGTTCTCTGATCGGCATTTCCAGTGAAGAGATCTGAAATGGTCGTCTTTTGTGCTAAAGAATCTTCTAATTTCATGTTTCTGGTCTCCATATAATTGCTTACAGACTGAACAGATTAGATCAGGATTAAAGGTACAGGGGAGAAGAAAATAACTCCTGGTATCCCGACTAATCTCCTGCTCCATAGCTCATTCTTGTTTTAAAGAATTGAATGTAAYGCAGTTCTGTACCCAGATTATAACAGACATGTGAAATTGTATTTTAATAACATGATAATGWTATTACTAAATATCCATTTTCTGCTACTTGCAATTTATCTCACTGTAAACACTTGCCCAGTTTTATTTTTTGTATTTTTAGCGTATGCAACATTTCTGCCCACTGAATTGAGACCAGAGACTATCTGCTATAAAAAGGCACRATGTTTTAACCAACGTGATGTCCCAGCTAAAGGAGTGCTGAAACTTGAAGATACAAAGACCCCACCAACGTCCGGGCACAGTAAGCACTACAGCTTTACTATATGATTKGAGGTTTCCTCACACTTTTCTTGTGGACGTCATTTTACTGTCTGCACAGCAGCACAAAAGAAACAAAAAGAGAAACAAATAGCAGGAAAAACTAACGTGAAAGGACGCTTGAGAAGCCTGTATGTATAAGCTGAGAAACATCCATATAACATATCGCAGCTACCTATTATACAATATAATTATCTCAAATTTGAGATAAGTCTTTCTGGTCAGCCACATCACAGTGATCTCCCAGTATAATCTTCAGTATTTGAAATCCATATCTGCAAGTACAACCTAGAAGACCTACTTACCTGCTGCATCTCTGCTAATTGCTTTTATCTATGGTATAATGCCACATAAAACCACCAGCTGCAGCACACAGATCTGCCCATTTGCCAAAACCCACTTAAAAATGGCAAAATTCSCACAGAGCCAAAGCATGAGAAATGTGCTGTCAGATTTAGAGCAATTAAACACCACCAGAGTTAAAACAACACTAATTTAATCTACAGTTATATCATATGGACACACAAGTATCCGCCTTTTCCTCAGCAATTTTTAAGCTTAGACCAACTCCAAACAGGCCATATGCTTTTAGCCCGCCTCAGTACCTAAAATATCAATGCTCTTTCCACAGAAAAAGGACATCTTTTCAAGTCTTGGTTTCTAGAGGCATCTTGTTCAACACTTTACTTTCATGACCTATAACTGTACTTAGGTGTCATAAAAAAAAAAACAGCTAAAAATCCTGTATTTTTACACATCAGTACTTTGGACTTTTGGAAAATAAACAAACAAACAAAACCTGACACCCGAACAATTAGTTTCCAAGTTGTTTCTACAAAATTTCTGGTTGAATTGAATTTAATTGTGCCATAGCAAAGCAAAAACATCTAAACCATGTCCTGTTTTGTTTATAATAAGCTAAAATAGTCTTAATATCATCTTAAGGTAACCTCTTGATTCCAAAAGCAAGCCACTTTGATGTTACTATTGCACATTACTGAAAAGCTTGCAAGCATCTTTGTTGAAAGCACAGCACACTCCCAACTATTCATTTTTGACCTAAGTTTTCTATCAAGAATTGTCCAAGGATATGTCTGAGGACTATGCTTAGGATCAGACTTGACTGGTTCTTTTTTGCACACTGATTTCACATAAATTTTACATGATGTCAGTTGGCAGCTGCAAGCACAGAACTCATCACAGAACAAAGACACTCACTTCTACCATCTACACTTAACAAGCTAATAATATATTTTTCATGTAGCGGCAGCAGAAAAATCCTAAGTGCTCTTGCCCCAGTAAGTGTAGCAGAAAGACACCTCTACCAACTATTTTAAAGGAGAGGAAGATCAAGAGAACCCCAAAACAAGCCAGTACAATCTCTCGCAAAGCTATTTTGCTGCAGTCCTTCATGTCAATGAGTTCTACTCTCCCAAAAAGATGTCAGTGTTAAGAATAATGTTGGTACAACAATTTAAAAGATTACAAGAATAGCTTCACAAGCTGACAAACAGAAACAGGGAATCCAGAGGTCTACTTACATAGACAGTTTAGCTCAGGAAATATTTTTACACTGACCATACCAATGTTTGCTAACTATGGGTAGCTATCCAATACTGTAAGCTTTATTTAAGAGGTGAATATTACCTACTGACCTCAAAAATTAAAAAGGCACTGCTTGAATTTCCTCTGCTGTGCATTAAGTTAGTGCGTAGTTTTCCTGCCAGTATCTTACCAAAGGTCTCAGGTTAATGTCAGGGCTAAGCCTGGAATCCATGCAAAGCTCCTAGCCCTAATAATCAGGTATAAGCCACCAAGTTCACTTTGACCAGGCTGAATTTTAAAAAACGTTTTTAAAAAGCAGCAACATTTGTTATGGAAAAGGATCTAAGCAAGACACTAGCTGAGAGCAAGCTGGAACACAGAAATCTCTCCTCTATTCCTTTGATATCTAAACTTCAATTCTATAGCCATGACAATGGAAAGTATAATTCCTACACATAAATTAATGCTGTACTAACTAAATCTGCTGAGAAAACGAAATTTTTCACTGTCATTGTACATTTTCCCAAGTTGTAATAAATGAAAACTGACCAGTTTTGTCAGAGCCTGAGGGGACCAGTACACTGAAAGATCAGGTCCATTTCACTCTGCTCAGCTTTTTCCAGTGTGTGGTCCTATTATTATTTGGAAATCTGGTTTATTCTAATGACTGTGAAAAAGCASCATCTCTTACGGATGACTTGCCAAGCTTATCTAAACCTCCCACAACTCTCTTCTGAAAGGTCAGGATGAGTTTTGCAAAGGGATTTAAGTATCCTGTGAACTAAAGTTCCACAAAAAGTCAACAGCAACTTTGCTTCTAAGCCACCGAACAAGGCACAATTTTATTTTCAAGTYGCTATTAGCATTTCTCACTTCTTTACATGCACATTAGATTGCATATAATCAAAGTTCACTGATACAAAAAATAATTTTGTTCTTATCAAGTTCCATTCCCTTGAGCTACTGTCTCAGCCAAGCAGACTTTGTGTCCTCCAGGTGTACAGAAGGCTCCTAGATGTTTGTCCACAGCCCTTCACAGAGATGCAAGGGCTCCCAGATTTGTTTGGGGAGAGGGAGGGGGCAGACTCCAAAGAGGGGAACACCTTCCTTCAAAACACCATTCCTCTCCGCTCTGGAATTGACACAAACAGCCATAAAAGCTCCCTCCGGAGCCCATCTGTGCCTACTAGGCAGCCACCAGCGGAGCAGACAGGAGGAGCTCTCTGCTCCACAAACAGCCGGCCCAATTCCCAGGCACAACGGCAGGAGCAGGACGCTCACTGGCAGGATCGGTGCCCAAGGGGGAAGGTCGCTCACCTGGCTACCAAAATCCTCTCTTTAGGATTTGTGGAAAAGACAGAACGTCTCTGCAAATGAGACAGAGCCCCGGCCAGGCCTGCATGCCTTCAATAGCTCGTCTTGGAGAAAAGGGAAAAAAAGGAAAGGAGCAGCATTTTTCGCAAGCACAGCAAGCTCAGATGTGGAGAGTCCCAATATCTGGCAATATCATCAAGAAATCTGTGCTTCAGGTAAACCAACAGTGGTAAGTGGCTGTAAGTAATAGTCTATACCTGCATCAAGTTTTTGTCCTTGACCATTCCCACCCCTATGTCTGAGCTTTGCCTTACTCAGATGAAAATAAGACCCACAATATGCACTAGCATTTGCAAGGCTGGGGCACAAAATTACGTGACATCACCTGTCTACTCCAAATCTAGCATTTCAGAAAAGTACTCTTTAGTGGATGCTTGAAGACAGTTATGGAAAGCCTGCAGATAAGAACTACTGCACAACATAAGACAGCGTTTTGATAGTATAAAGAGAGAAGCATTCTTTTCTTTTCATAAAATTGCCCACACCTAAGAAGTCTAAAATAACAAAATCAAAAGCTTCAAAAAAACAAAACCCTCTCCACTGCTTTGTAGCTATCCAAGACCTACTGAATGACATCATTAAAAAAAAGAAAAGAAGGAAAAGAAAAAAGACCGAGAGACAATGAGTAACATATTAAGTTCAAACATTATTCAAAATAATCATCAGAGAGGAAGCTTTTTTTAATCCATCTGTCTATGAATTAAAGTGGCTTAAATGTTTCCAAGTATTTTGCAATGCTATTCCAGAAGTAATGGTTACTATGTGACAACGCCTGCAGGAGCCATTTCAAAAATCACCCTAAATTTCCATGGGCCATGGTCCTGCAAAGCTACCCATGCTCTAAAGACCCTGCTCACCGGAGCTGACCAACAACGGCAATGCCAAAATCCCCAGCAAAAATAAAATCTTCCTACTGCTCCTGCCATTTAATTCCTAAAGCATGTGAGCTGAATGAGCCTAATACAGGCCCAAAATCCTGGCAAATGCAACCTTCTCTACACTGCAGATCTCATCACTGGCACTACTGTAGACTAAAAGAAATCAGGAAAGATTTGGGTTCTTTTTTCCCCCCCAAAAAAAACCATGCTTAACCAATCCAAGTCCACTAGCAGAGATACACGAGCCCTTAAAGCTTTCCTTGTGGTACATGATCCATGCTAGTCAATCCCTAATTGGAATTAGATTTCTTTTGAAACAAAGTCAAAATATAACTAGTGTCTCCATGTCTGGAATATATGCTTTATCTCCAGTCACTAAGAAGTCTTCAGTGAACATCACAAACAATTCCAGCAATTGAAAAATATTTACTTGAGAAAATGCCTGTTTAGTTCAAGTAAGTCATCAACATTTTATGATCACTCCCTCAGAATTCCCACTATTTCTTATTTAATTTCCAATCAAAGACCTCCTTACGGCTTGTAAAAAAATATCCTCACATATATAAATCACTGTAAAACTATTACTTCCTTTCTGTTTTCAGCACAATCACAAAGGTGAAAAAGATACTGACAGAGCTGGAAATATTAACAGAAAAAAATGTCATCCTTGGGGAAGTATTTCCTCTGTGTTATTTAACTGTAGGAACGGACTGCTTTGCYTCAGCCTTGTCACAAAGCAAGCTCGTGTTAATCCACTAAGCATATTATGAGTTTGGCAAATCAGACTTAGATTAATAGGGCTATCTCATTTTCCAAAACAAGATTTTGTACATGTTTTGTACATATTATGTTTTGTTCYACATAAACAACTACTCTGTCACATTTCTACAGAATGAAGCTACTTWAAACTCTGGGAGTACCCAGTAAACACAATTCAGAATAGACAGGTAGATCCAGCTCAAAATCCAGCCCTTCACAATGGATGCTAGGAAAATATAAATAAAATCCAGCAAATCTTTATTTTTCCACATTTGACTGTAACRGTTCCAAAAACACAAAGGAAGGAAACTCTTCTATTCATTGCAACCCACTGTTTTACACCACACAACACAGATATCTTTTATCTATCCAAGCCAATGGGGTGGGGTTTTTTATGACAGAAAAGAATTTCGCTGGCGGATTTCTTCTGGTTCATTTTCAAGCAAACGCCAAGATTGGACCAATGGAAAAAAAATATGAGGGAAAAAAAATAGAAACACAACAAAGCGCCAAGCCCCAGCATACAAAGAGTGCGAGTGGGAGCATCAGCTGGCCGGGATGAGCGGCCACGGAGCAGGCTAAGGCCTCAGGTAAGGCCTGGAGGGGCTGCAGACCAGATTCAGACACTCGGAGGGAGAGACACCRGCTCCGGAGCCGCTCTCCGTGGGCGTTCACCGTGGGGCCTGCCGACACACGGCAGGTCACAGAGCTTCGCTATCGCTGCCGAGGGCACCCCGGACCGACGCGAGGGCGCAGGCTGGCATTCCCGGCGATGGTTTAAAACAAAGGCAACCGAAGGCAAATTCCGGAGCGGCGGCGGCGAGGAGCGCGGCCGCGCCGCCGTGCCGCGGCCTTACCTATTCCGTAGGCTTTCGCGCAGATCCATTGCAGATTAGCAGCTATTTTCGCCCGGGCGGAATCGTAGAGCTCCAAAGGGACGATCTCGAGGGCGCCGTCGGCCAGGGCATCCATCTTCCTGCGGGCGCCCTCGCCGCCCGCGCACGCGTCCGCATCCACCATCTGAAAGGACAACAAAAGGCCGCCCGTGGCACCGGTGCCCCCCGCGTGGCAGYGGGTGGGTGGTGGGGGGTCACCCTCAGCATCTCCCGGGGGCGGAAGGGGGCAATAAAGAAACACCAAAAAATGACAACTCGAGTGGGGGCTTTTT